ATTGAAACCTAAAAGTTTCTATACGTAGGAATTTAGTTACCGTAGCGAGTCGTAAACTTTGACTTGCTTTGTGGTGAGAGATGCAAATTAAGACGAACTGAAGAGGTGGATTGGGTTGATAAAGTGAAAATAATAGCGTAGATATAGAAACTATTAAATCAGACACTTTACGGAAAATTTTCCACATGAAAAAATTTTGTATTAAAATTACAACAAAAAAACAAAAAATAAAATAAAATATACTCAAAAGAAATGAAAAATAAAAAATTTCCCAAGCACAAAAAAATCAAATATATTTATTTGTAGATATATTTATATATATTTTTTCATAACTAAAAGAGTAGATCATTTATTTGACAATAGTTTTTTTTTTGTTTTTCATTAAAAAACATTTTTGCAAATCAACTGCAACAAATCATGTTGATTGCTGTTGTTGTGGCAACACTGGCGACATCAATTTACAGAGCAGGCATGAAATATTGCCTTTCGAATGGGGCATAAATAAGCGTTTCGAATGCCATCTTGCGCGCGTCTTGATTGGTGTAACCACTTTTTAAGCGCTTCCGTAATATATTTATTTGTTTCATTCAAAGAAATAAGTAAAAAATATCTTTTGAATGCAGTTAAAGTAAATAAACTAAACACAATATTAATGTACAATAAATAATATTTTGATTATGTTTACTTATTAAGTGAAGCAGTAAATGGGGTTCCTGTTCACTCTATTCACTCTATTATTTGATTTTTATATAAAATAACTTTGGGACTGCATTTCTCAGAAGGAAAAAATTAAAAATCATGTATAAAAACCGTTAAATTTGAAATAATTTATTATCTACAACTTAGTAGTGGACAATTTTTTTATAAAAAAATGTTGTTTTCTTGGTGTTCTGTTTTCTTCTTATTGTTTTCCCTTTTTTCTTTCTGTAAGTATTAAGAATATTTTTCAAATTATTGGTGTTAACAGCTGCCATGCTGCTTTCTGCTCATTTTATATACGTACGTATACTTATCACCTGAGTTAGACATTGATTGCGTATATGAATGGAATGAAAAGGCTTAACTCATAATTGCTAAGAGCCCAATAATGCATTTTCTTTCATGTAAGATATCATAAGTTCAATAAATAATGCTGAGTAGTTTTTTTGCAATACTACTATGATCTTGATTGTAAAAGGGCCACAATTATTAATTATAATAATTTTTGCAATATGTACATTTGCGTAAATATTAGAACAGAAGGTGATAAAATTAATAGCAACTATCGTAGCAGCTACTCCAACTAAAACGGAATCTGTTTAGCACTACGATATCGGAGCTGACGGGTCACTGCGTAAGAGAGAAGTATGTTATGAGACTAGATATTCCTTATAATGAGCTTTGTCGCGATTGTGGCTCTGAAGATGAGGGGGAAACTGTGTTCCATCTCATGTGTCAGTGTTTATCAGTGTTTATAAGATCAAAAATATTAGCGGGACCTTTTCTGACCAATTTGACTGAGCTGTCATCTCACACTGTTACAGACCTGGTCAAATTCATAGAATTGTCGGGTTGGTTTTACTTCCCCAAAATGGAGGAGTCATTGTCTTTTTCGTTGTTGATCGTATACTGATCACCATGTCTAAGTATGAACCAATACTATTCCTGTGGTACTATAACGGACCATTATTTGATCTCAAGTGGGCTTTCTTGGTACGCAAGACTGCCACTCCAACTTGGCCTAACCTAACCTTTAGTAGCATTGATTTATTTTACTTTATCTTACTTTATAGTAGTCATATATTTACTTACATTCTCATAAGCGCATACAAGCACTAAAATTACAATAACAATAATTGCAAAAGCAGTAAATGCAGTGAAAAAGGGAAAGAGAAGAGTAGTTGAAAAGAGTCGTTAAAATCATAGTAAATTATATTATAAACATAAATAGTAAATATTTAAGACATAAGAAATCAAAAGACATAAACTTTTAAATCCCATATTTTCTATATAGAATAAACAAAAATAAAAAAAGAACACAAAAATAAATCCGTAACCGGCGATTCATTAAAGTTTAGACATTGTTGACCCAGAATTTGTGTGCATCGTTAAGAAAACCAAACAAAAGCTGATTTCACAAAAGTAAAATAATATAAAAAAGTTATTTTTTTTTTAAATTAAAATAAAACAAACGAAAGTAAAACAAATTGCAGGAAAAACTTAATTTAATTGATTGAAATTGTACACTCAAAAAAGAAAACTTTAAGCTCACATGCAAAGGAACACACGCACTCACACACAAATATGCGTATTTAAGTTGAGTTGCCCACTCACGCATACACTTTTAAGGTATTAAAATCATATAAGAAAAGTCGGCCAAACATAGACCGCAGCGCACAGCAGCAGCAGCAGCAGCAGCATAGGCTGTGATACTGCGATACTGCGGGTATTAAATTGTCAATGTAGTTCTTGTTGTTTAGTTGTTATTGTTTTCATTTTTGTTGTTACTATTGTTAATGAAGTGAACATCAAAAACTTCAACGTCGACGTCGACGTCAACGTTGACGTCGTCACCAATAAATTCAGTGTGCAGCTTCCAAACATGTTTAGAGAACCTGTGTAACTTGCAATTAATTCCTAAACAAAGACAAAATATGAAGAAAGCAACAACAACAACAATAAATGAATAAAAAGTGTATGTTGAAGAGAAGAAAAAAAAAATTTAACATCAAATAAAATCAAATGAAAATGAAATCAAAAAAACGAAATGAAAATAAAATTAAAAACTTTTCAATTCACTTTCACGCGTCGTTGTGTGACTTTGACAAATGCGCAAGGCGCGACATTTTTATGAGTTAAGGCGCCGCAATGCGTTTCGATTGGAGTATTTTAAATTTGTGTTAATACGCCATTTTCAAAATTTTTGCCACTTCATAAAAAGTAGAACATACGCAAATTTATCGCATGCGTAATCGATAAATCATCAATTAAAGTTGTCAAGTTGTCGCTGGGATATGTGCCACAAATCTGACAGCTACCATTTCATAAAAAAATCTACAATTGGCTCAATTAAATTTTCTCTAATAACATAAAACATGTTTCCATATTATTTTTTTTTTATTTTTTAAGTTTACTATGCAAATTAATTTTTATTTTCATTTTTCATTTATTTGTGTTTTTATTTTCATTTTCATTTTCATTTTTATTGCTAGTGCAAGCTAGTAAAGTCTTTAAAGGCTCTAAGTTATCGAAAATCATAAAATAGCAACATCAATTGCAACCACCCACTTTGCCGCATTTGCCGCACTTGTCTTTACTGCTTTTATTTATAATATTATTATTGTTGTTGATGTTGTTGTTGTTGTTGTTGTTGTTGTACTTCTGACATTTCTATGTTGAGATCGTTACAGGCGAAATTGGGATTTATGCATTTTTAATTCGAGCGGTGCATAGATTGTGTGGGTGTATATAAATTGCTGAAAGGAAAACACATTTTGGCTGCGTGCGTATTGTGTTGAGTTGTGTTGTGTTGTGTGTTTTCTATTTAATGTGGCCGATACTTGGCTTTATGGCTATAATATTTTATTTGGAGAAAAATAAAAAAATGCTTATAAGAAAATAACAACTAGAGAGCAAACTAAGGTAACAAATCAATTGGAACTCGATTCCACTTACAGTTTTGTCTGGTAGTTTATGTGTCACGATGCTGCTGATTTGTTTATTTTCGTATTTTGTCAAGGCATGATTAATATGCTTATGTAGATCAGTTTCCTTACAAAAATACTCACATATGCAATATAAATTAAACTAATATCTTTTTCAGAGTAGCGGAAAACTTTTTATTTGTAAAAATATACATACAATTTGAAAATTTACGAAGACATGCATTTGCATAGCAAAGGTGGATAGTTCGCTTTTGAAGAACCATGGTTTACCTAATTAATTGATTGATTGCTGTTTATTTAACAGCAAATAGTATTAAATATATTATTATATAGTCTATGCATCAAGTAAGCGGAAATGTGGCATAGTTTATTTTGCATCAGAAAATTAATTACCTCTACGAAATTCAAGAATATGAGTAATCGCATCCTGATGCGATTTGTTATATATAGAATTGAGAAGTACATTTACTTTCTAGCAACAATCCCAAATATTAATACTTCAAATATTCAGGAAAAAAAAAACAACAGTAAAAAGTTGTCCAAATTTTTATTTAATACTGGATCCACATGAGAGTTTTGTTTGTAATTTTAGAGCTGTCAATTGTTGTTGCTTTCAATGTAAAATGAAATTTTTTGACAGCTAAAATTACAAACAAAACTCTTGTGTGAGTCCAGTATAAATATGTAGTTAACATTCTAATAATATTATTTATTTACTTATTTATTATAATTACTTACAAAATATAAAATCTTATAACTAAGATAGGAAAAAAACGAGCGCTAGCTGCCTTGACCTTCAGCACGGATCTTATAAATTAAATTTTATTGACTAGATTACAGACTTAATATATTTATATATCAAAAGTATGTTTTTAACAGTACTTGTTTTTAATAGGCTGGTAGGTGAGATCTAAATTTTTATAATATCATTCTTTGCTTTTAAAATAAGACACAAGATATGTTTTCGAAATAATATAAATAATACAAATAAAGCGTACAGTCTGCTTTTTATTTCAAAACGTAAAATTAATTAATGTACTTTCTTTTAGAACTAAAACTTCAAAAATGCCAGCTATATTTTGCAGGCAAAAATAAAACTCCACTCCTTTTTTTAACTCATTTATTAAATTTATTTCAAAAGTGATTACAACATAGAGATTGTAGTATATTATAATCATATATTATAAACTTTTTTAGAGATATTACTATAAATAAAAAATATTATATGGATAAAGTGCCTACAGTATGTTGCTTATAGGAAAATTGTTTTATTTGAATTATTTTGAAAAAAATAAACTGCATTGATAAAAATATCAAAATTGTAAAAAAAATTTTTCAAAAAGTAATTAGAACAACTTAATAAGTCACAATGATATTGCATATATTGCTGCTATTTAGTATTTATGTAGTATTATGCTTTGGTAGTAGCTGCAAACCAAGTGATTGTAATCATGCCGGAGAATGTATTGGTTCGAATCCAACTTGTAAATGTTTTTCAAATAAATATTTCATTGGAAACAAATGTCAGCAAATGGTGGATAATTGTCAACCAAATCCCTGTAAAGGTGGACCATGCAAAACCCTAGTAGGCGGCTATTCATGCACTGCAGATTTTAATGTGGTTAAAGAATGGTACATACATTCCAACTTATATGGAAATTATGGTGAAGAACAGAAGATGATACTCGCATTTAAAGAGTTAAATGATTGGAATCGTGCAATTGAGATAACAACTGACAATTACTTCATTGATGGTTTTGAGGCAAATCCATCAAATAATGATAAATATTTTAAATATTCAAGTGATTTAATGAGTATAGCAGAGGGATTGGGTCTACATCATACCGATAAATTTCCTTTTAATAGTGGTTATTATCATATAACGCAAGCTAATTTTTGGATAATAGGGAAACGTGATGTTGATATCATTATAAGTGTAAATGATGAAGAGTATTTTTTTTATAGAACTTTAGAATTTTATGTTCTTCAGCCGGAGGAAATCAGTTGTATACCAGATGTTACATTTCCTCATTGTATGGATCCATATGATCCTATATTTCTAGATATTAAACGATTTAATATTTTTGAACCCGAAATACTGGAAACATGTGGGAAGGATGCTGCGTACACTTTTCGTTGGTGGACGTTTGATAGTACAGAAACAAGTAAGCATGTAAATGTTTTGAGATATATAAACTTATGTTATATATTTCTGTCCGAAATATGAAAATATGAAATATTTTTAGTTCTTTTACATTTCTTTGGACGTACTAATGAGACGAGACTTAGAGTTCCTCCTTATCGCTTATGGTTTGGTTCACACTTTGAAATCACTATGGGATATGTAGTACGTTTTGAGTTCCGAAGTTCTGTGGAAGATTCTTGTGTAGCACGAGTAGCCAGAGTAAGTTTTGTAAAATTTGTAAAATTAATTGATAAGGAATAGTTTAATTATTTAGTTTTAATTTATTTATATTATAGTGCTACTTTAAAGTATATCCAGAACCAATCTCTGGTAAGATTGCTGGTGGTGAGGAACGAGAAGTAGGAGTAAGTCAAACTTTTAGATTAGATGGATCAAAAAGTCGTGATTTTGCTTTAGCTCCTAATGTTGAACAAAAAATGATATTTAGATGGGATTGTTCATCAGATGATGATCCAACAAATAGTTATTGTCAAGATAATATTGGCACAAGTAAGTTTGAAACTCATTACCACTTATTTTTAAAAACAAATTTGTTCATAATTTTACTGAACTTAAAATTAATTAATCTGTTAAGTGTACTGGTTGTTTTCTAAATACTATTTTCATGCTCAAAGAAAATCGAACATTTTAAGTAATATGTTGAGAGAACTATGTTAAGTCAAGTTACTCGAACCACGTCAATAACTAGATCGACCAAACGCTGAGTGTTTTTATTAAAAGTAGATTTAAAAGTAAACTTTTCTCCCAGCAAAGCAATCACATTCATATTCACTCATATACACAAACATATATTAAAAAAAGGAATAAACACATAGTCGTAACTATAATTTAGTGAGATGGATGTTTCTAAAATGTATGGTAACTTAGCTGAAGAAAGAAGTCTATAAAGATATAATTTGAAGTATGTAATTGATCTCTAGTAGAATGTTAAAAATATGAAACATTCAAATATGTTCAGTTTTTAATGAAAGTTTTATATATAATATATATGATATATATTTGTCAAGTACTGTTTTTAAAGTATTATGAAAAAGTGATTTTATTAACATTAAATCATTACTGTGTCTATACTGTGTAGTTTTTCTAAAACTATAAAACTGTTAATATCAGTAATTTTATTGTTACTCTTTTCAGGTAATATACTGACTGTTGAAGGTGGCTCCTTGCGATTGGGTATGAATTACACATATGTTTTAAATCTCAGATCAATTGTGAATGAACAAATTGTCTCTCAAGTGTCTCAGACAATTAAAGTTGTTTCAGAAAATCAGCACGACGTATCCATTGAGTGTATAAGAAATTGTCAGAACAATCAATATGCCTCCGGAAAACCAATTCACTTGAGAGCTATTTGCAATAGTTGCGATCACGCAAGAAATTGTGACTACGAGTGGATGGAGGGAACTACAAATGTTAGCAATGCGCGTAGAGTTTTACATAATGCAACAGAAACAACACCTACTAGCTTAAAAGTGAAGATTAATTGTGAAGGACTTGTGGGTAAAGCTAGTGAAAACCTAACACTTAATACTCCTCCAAGCGGTGGGAATTGTAAAATTACACCCGCCTCTGGTATAGAACACACGACTTCCTTCGAGATTGAGTGCATCGATTATGTGGACGAACATATGCCTATTTCATATCAATTTATAGCAGATGATTTTACAGTAGTTCGTACTTATTTTCACACTGTGAACGTAAGTTTGCCAAAATTGGAAAAATTTAAGGTCGTTATATGTGATTCATTGCAAGCATGCATTGATGTTGATGTTGCTGTTACTGTAACAGATATGCCAGAACTTGTTGGGGTACCACCTGTAAGGGATTTATTTCAGGAACCTGAAAATAACTTAACAAATTTATTTCGAAGTGGATTTGTGTCAAAAGGTATGGTATTACTTAACGCACTAATGAGCAAAGCCAAACCCCATGAACAGGCCGAATTCATATACCAAAGTTTCGACGATTTTTATTTACGTACACTTTTGGATATTGAACAATTAACTACTGTAAGTAAGAATTATCTTTTAGGCTTAAGTCCGATTGAAAACAAAGGCGCTTTACTTTTATCGAAGCTTCTTCATAAAATATCACAGGGCTTTGATTTTGTTTTTGATAGCAACGAAGTGGTAGAATTAATTGATGGACCATATACAATTTTAACAAATAATTTCGCAGAAATGTTATCGAAACTTTCCGAAGAATTGGAAGAATTTCCTCCCGTACAAACAATACAGCCAAATTTAATTACAGCTAATGATCCAATCGCAGAAAGCTATGAAGACTGGGGAGAGTTGGATGCAACTGCTTTAATCAGAACGAATAATTGGCTTGAGGCAAGTCAACAGTTGCATATATGTCTTCAACAACTTGGCGTAGCTTCTGCGCGTATGCATCATCCCACCGAAACACCTTTAGTTATAAATAAGGATGAACTTAGTGTAGCGATATTAAGTATTGAGGAAATGAACCCCCAAGAGTTAGCTTTTCTGCAAAATGCAGACTATGAAGTTTACTTTAGTCAGAGTTTAGTTGAGGAACTACAACAATACTTTGAAACGGAAAATATATTATTACAAACTATGTTTAGTAAAAGGAATCCCTTTTGGTGGTACCCCGACGAACATCTATTAAGTTCGGATGTTATATATTTCAGCGCTTACAGCGCAGATCCTAACAAGACTCAACGCATCAACGTCACAAACCCGATAAATCTTGTTTTTAAAAACATCAAACCCTACATGGAGCAATTAGTGCCGTTGTCTGACGTCATTCCAAGTGATAAGCAAATGATTGTGTATAGCTTCAAAATGCCAATAAATGGATTGTTAGTTATAAAATTTAAATCTAGCTCTGTTGATTTACTCACCACATTAGAACTTAATAAAATTCCATCTAGTTATAAACTCAGAACGAAACGACAAATCGTGGATAGGAATAAAAATGAAACTGTATTTATGCTAATAAATGACAATGATGATAGCGGTACTGGATACTTAGCTGTGCTGCCAGCTGATTCAGTTGATGGTTCTGTTGAGTTTGAATTTACATCTGAAATGGTGGAATGTGTATCTTGGAGTTTTGAAGAGGCGGACCCCATGTGGATAACAACTGGCTGTAAACCACAAATTACATCAAACTTTGAAAATGGCATATATTGTAGATGCCAACATCTTTCCATTTTCGGTTGTAAAATATATGCCATCATTGCAATGCCGTCTGTTCGAGATCACACAGTTTTCATCACTATGCCCATTAACTGGTTTATGGTTATACTTTTTTTACTCTTTCTTCTGCTTTTGTTTTGGTTACTTTTCTGCACGCTTTCCAGAACTCGACAAAAGAAGAGAAATGCAGTTGTATACTTGGAAGAAGAAGATTTTAATAAAAAATTCAACATAATAGTTTATATCAGTACTGGTAGTGCTCTAAACGCCGGCACTACAGCAAATATAGTTTTATCTTTTCCTATCGGACAATGTCAACGAGACTTTATAATCTATCAAGATCCTGAAAATCCCTACTTTAATCGAAGTACAACTTGGGCAGTGCAGTTACCACTCAGTGTCAGTGAAATTAATGAACCGATTAAAATTGGCTTACAACGTGATAACAATGGACGGTATCCTAATTGGTACTGCCGTTCTATAAAAATTAAAAACTTAGAGAATGGGAAGACTGACAATATCGAAGTGCGACGGTGGATAAAACAAAATGAGATGCTACACTTTTCTCCGAATGTCACAGAGGAAGACAGCAAAAGTAAGCGTCAGACTTTTAAACATAATTTAGAAGGTATTTTTAATAATTGGTTTCACATGCAATCGATATTGGGTCCATGGAAGTATGATTCTTCAGCCGCAGATCGCTTTGAACGTACATGCATTTGGATTTGTAAAATATTTATAATGGTCTGCATCGTATTTGCTTACTATGGTAAAACCACAATTGAAAACTATGAGGAAGAACGTGAGACATATCATATGATAAATATAAGTATATGGACTATTCTTCTACTTATTATTTTTTGTTATATAGCTGACATATTGATACATCTATGCTTTGAATATTTTTTACATAAATATGGTAATAAGCAAAACGAAAAGAGTTAAGATAATAAAAAAGACAATGCTTCATAATATTATATATTATATTTAATAATAGAATTTAATAAAGTAATATGGTATTATTTTATAACACAGAATACACAGGAGCAGACGCTTTATCAGTTGACCCAGTAAAGCACGAGTCTTATAATTAATATTCCTGCTGGAATTATTAGGTATCTCAAGAGACTGTGTTGTTCCTGTTGACATTAATCAGAATTTAAAAAACGCATTCAATGTTTACACAGACATCAGGTAGTCATTAAAGGTATTTATTTCAAAGTTCAGTAGACGAGTATAGATGAAATATTGAAAACAGGTTCATTGCAGTTTGGGTTGCTGTTTATGTGTAAGTGGTATGAAAGTAGCATATAGATGAGATAGCTAGAAATGGTACTTCCTCCATAGAACATGCCTCTTTCCAAACTAATTAAGAACCAATTGCACACTTTAAATACTTTAAATCTAGAACTTAACATTGTCAAACATGAATAAAACGTAAGTTTATAAAATGATATCGCTTGTGACCAGGCTATGGACTGAAATACGGTACGGGGCTAAATCCCGTTCTCTGTAAGCTACTTATAAACTTATTTACTGCATAAACTTATTTAGATCTAGATTCAATTCCCAAGGCACATTTTATGCTACTGATTCATATATCTAGATGCAGAGACTTCAAAAATATTTTTGAGCTCATCGAGAAGAGTTACTAACAAAATATTTTATTAAGTATATATAAATAAAATTGATACTAATTGCAAAGATTAACGTATTTGTTTGATTTTGAAATATAAGCCGACAACTAAGTAACAAGTTATTTAAAACTTCTCAACTTAAAACGAGTTAATAACTAATAAATGAAAATTTTATTTTAAATTGTGAGAACTTATTGAATTTTTACAAGATGTTCAATTTTTTGGAATATTCCAAAATATGAAGTTCCCAATTCAAATATAGCGACAAAGTTAACGTGACGGACCCATACTTAAGATATAGCAAGGAAGTTTGAAGTTTAAATGTCTGTAAGTACAAACAATCATAAACAATAAAATAATTTAAACTGTATTAAATCTTATTTCAATATAGTTAAAAATAAACAATTTACATTGTCATTAATTTTTTTCTAAATGTAAGAAATTGACCTCGTAAAATGTGCAAATTTAAAAATAAAAGAAAAAAAAACTATTCCAATTAATTTATATTTTGCAAATTCATAGGTTTTGAAAATTTAACGCTTCGCTTAACCCTTCTGCCTTAATAGATACATTTACCTTTAATGTAGATACTCACATAATTATAACAATTGTTTTAAAAAGTGCTGTTTTATTAAATTTCTTTTTATGCAAAGTCATGGCATATGTTATAAGAAAAAAAATTGCAAAATAATAGGAAAAACTACTTTTATTATTTCAATGTCAATTTACAACATTTTACGCTTATTTGGTGTAAATTTTTATTTCAGACTATACTAAACTCATTTACTTAATTAATTTAAAATACATAGTAAATATTGCATTAAAAGTATCTCTTACAAACTATAGTGCTAATATGTATTTATTATAATCAGTTGTATTGAAACCAATAATATGGTTATGGTTTATGGGTTAGGCTTGGGCTTAGGCCTTGTGACCAGCTTGATCTATTCCGCACCAAAAAACAGTAACGTAGTTGTATCTTCATATAGTATAACTGCTTAATAGGTTCATATTTGTATTTTTATGTTATTCCTGATATTATTCGAAATTAAATCTTTTAACATACGAACTAATACAAAATCCTTTTTATAAACGCAAAATACTCAACTCATAAGCGAATTAATAATTAATATTTTTAAAATATTCATTTTATATATTCTAATACTTTTTCGCACTTATTACCACTTACTTTTTGCTTCAAGCATTCACTCGCTCGATGTCCGTTCGTTCGCTTGCTATTCACAAACTTTAAAATTAAACGAAAAGAGTTCTTTTTACATTGTAGTATTGTAGTATGTTTAGTATGTAGAACACTGTAAAGAAGTGTATAAGATGACTAGTGAAAACCATGACTATATTTGTCTATATTTATTTATATTAGACGCAGACAAAACGTTTATTTGTTATTCAGATATCATTTACAATGTCACTACATATGCTAACAACAAACGCTTCAGAACGGTATTTGGGATATGATAAGTAGCAAGGAAAAAATATATTTATGTAGAATATTGCTACCACCGAGTATTAAAGACATCGCAATAGTTATTGTGAACATAGATTGGTGGATAGGTAAGTAGAAGCTAATTAAATTTAGTCAATTTTTGCTCATAAATTGTTTATAAATTAATCGTCTAATGCTATTAAAAATTAACTTGAATAGGAAAACGAAGCTTAAATGGGCAAATAACTTTGTGGTTTATTAGCGACTATCTTTATGACAAATTAATAGTTATGAAGATTATTATTAGGATTCACAAAACCTTGTGAAAAAAGCAGTGTTCGATCTGAAATTTAGATGACTTATTTTGAAAAAAAAATCAATTCTTCTTTCCAAATAAACTTTGTATAGAGTATTTGTGACAACATTTGATAACAATTTAATCATAACTCGATCAGTTATTACGAATTTGTAACAAGACTTATAATAATTTTGGAATCCATGATTAAAAAAATTTCTAATAAGTAATGATTTTTGATAAGAAAAAATACTACTGAAGTAAAATAGTGTCTTTAAAAGTTTTATAGAAACGTTCAATAGATTTTAATAGATGATTTGGTTTTTAAGGACCGTTAAAATAAAAGAGTGGCCTTGTAGGTTTTACAGAAACTCTATCTCAAGAAAAAATTGATTATTTTGATATATTATATAGAGATAGCAATTTTTAGCACTTTTCCTCTTATTATTTGTATAAACCTTCTTGGATCTAATAATTTCATTGGCTTGCTTTATTTTCTTAATCTTTAAATATTCAGTCTCATATGTATATCGTTATATACCAATCTCAGGTATTATTACTTTTCTGCCCAAAGATAAGATCCATATTCTTAACGGGTATCTTCACTTATTCTACGGGCTCGATTTTTAGAAGTTTTGAATGCAGTATTTTTATGATATTTTGTAAAATAATTTTGGTGTTCTCAATAACGACATGTTTTAGTTTAGAATTAGGCCCTTATTAAATGACTATAAAGGTAGAGATAACGTTTTCTACAAAAACACACTTCAAAAATACTGCCAACGAATATTTTCTTGTATACTCTATCCTTTGGTACAATTCCGGCTAAACCACTGGTTTTGATTGTTCTGTATATTTACACCATTTCTTTAATTGATTCTGTATCTCATATTAACATTGGGCCTTTAGTAATTTCCCCAGTACTTTTTCGGGATATTCTTAAATGCCATACACATGAACATATTTACGTATTTATATATAAAGACTAAGTTCTTGATGTTTCATTTCTTATGAAAGCATAATGGTCTTATAATGGTCATATCCTTTTTTTAGTCACATGTGAGGTCCTCTTGTAGCTATTGTCAAAAGTAAATCTAAGATATTTTGTTTCTCTTCAACCTTTAATTTTTTATAAACTTATCATTTCTCTACACATACTGTGATATTATTTAATTTTTATAATGAAAATAAGTCAATCAAATTTAAATTTGCTATGGAAATACCATTAATCTGAACGCAAGATCAGGATTGGTTTCATAGCACGCGAGGCATTAAATTTGCAAATCACTGCACGGCGGGAATTCACTGGGTAATATATTCTGCATACAAAATATATTTAAATACTTCATATGAAAATATTTTATTGCAAAAATATTGGTAACAAAATAAAGAGATAAATTTGAGTTGTAAAAGAGCAAAGTTTTGAAATAGTTTCTTTTTTTTTTTTTTTTTTTTTTTTTTTTTTTTTTATTCCATTAATATTACAACTATCTTAGATATCTAGTAATACTTTTAACAAATGAAAATTTGGAAGTTTCAGTTATCTTAAATCATCATTTAAGATAACATGTTAATGATAATGATATATTTCATAAAATTTTAAAATATTTCATAAATAATTAGATAAATAAATACATAAATCAATAAATAAGTAAATAAAATAAATAAGTAAATAAAATAAATAAATAAATAGACAAATAATTACATAAGCAAATAAATAAGTAAATAAATTAAATAAATAAATAGATAATAAAAGTAAAAAGAAAATAAATAATAAATAAGTAAATAAAATAAATAAATAAATAAATAAATAAATAATAAATAAGTAAATAAAAAGTTAAATAATAAATAGTAATAATAAATAATAATAATAAATTAATAAACATAAGTTAGAGTAAGCTTAATTTAATACTTTATACTTAAGTATGTTGGGAGTGTACGTTTAAGACGTTTTTTGTATCCTAGTTCCAGGGCAGGGAGTCTTCTCATTTCTAGGTTTGAATGCTGAAGCAATTTAGATAAGTGGTTCGCACTGCTTTTTTGAATTGTTTCGTGTACTGTAGGGATATTCAGGTCTTTGTGAATATCGTCGTTTCTGATGTACCATCTAGCATCTACTATCGTACGCAGGATTTTTGATTGGAGCCTTTGAATAGTATTTATATAAGTCTTGCAGGTGGTTCCCCATATTTCAATTCCATATTTCCAAATCGGAACAATAATACTTTTGTAAATTAGTAGTTTGTTGTCTATTGACAGATTGGAAGTTTTACCAAGAAGCCAATATAGATCTGCAAATCTTCGATGAGCTTCCTTTTTCTTCTGAATTATGTGCTCCTTCCAAGTCAGCTTTTGGTCTAATAGCATACCCAAGTAATTGGCTTTCTTGCAGATTGGTATATCAATGTTAACAATTTTTAGTTTCTGTTCTTCAAATTTTCTGTTAGTGAAAATGACTTGGACAGTTTTTTCGGCGTTTATCTTTATCCCCCAGGTGTCAGACCAATGCATCACTTCGTTTAGATGATTTTGAAGATTTACAGTTGCTTTAGTGATATCATGGTTCGTTGATAAAAGTCCA